ACCGAGGCCTCGTTGCTGCGTCACACACTGGTCCGAAACGCTTCGACAGTTCGATGGTTCACCGCTAGGGGGCGATGCTCTGCTGTACCAGCCCTTTTACTCTGTATTCAAGATCTCTAGATCAGGGGTGCCCAGGTCTGTGTCTGGATTGAGTTAAAGATTGGAGAAGTATATATTGGGGACAAAAAAATGTATTAAACATCTCCACAAACAGCATCACCAGCTTCACTCATTATTAACCAGACTGACTTTATTTCTGTCAGACATCTGCTAAAGCGCTTATTGAGAATTAACAGAGATTAAGATGATGATGTTTTATTGTTTCATTTGATGTTACCATCAAGGTGATTAGTGTTTGCTATAGTTGGGCCCTTGACTTTATAACATTTTATTTTTTTGGGCTGCTGTAACTGTGTTTGTAAAGCACATTTGTTACGGCAAGGAATACCAAAAAGAGACCGCAACCAGGTGATATCAGTTTGTTATTGATCACAACACAATCTTCACCCAGATTCAGTATGCAGTCTTTGTGAGGAGTTATTAATCTAAAGTTTCTAATTATAATAGCACTTTGATTATACAGTATAGGATCCAACTGTGTAATAATTTATGAAGGATTTTAAAAGCATAAGTCACAAGCATTTTGAACTGCTGTGTCATTTAAAAACAAAGAGAAACATCAATAATTAATGAATGAATCTCAACGATGGTGACAATCAAAAGCTTCATGCTGCAATGCATGCTGGGTACCTAGTCTCTGTGCAGTGAGTGCACTTTGACCTCACATTAGTATGAGCACACAATAGGGCCTTTCGCACCTCGGGAACCTTTTCATAGTACCAGAACTAATTGTGGAACTACCCACTTTTTGGCGTTTTCGCACCGCAGGAACTGGGTGCGATTTTAGTACCGGACTGCCTTTTTCGAGAACCAAATTAGCTCCTACTCCGGAGCAGGGTCTAAACAGCACAACTGGTACTAATCGTGACGTAAGTAGACATTGATTGGCCAAGAGGTTACACTTTTAGCTCACTGTGACCTCATCACGAGTATCCTGGGTTCCATCACGAGATCAAAGTGTTGACTGTGTTATTATTTACTATTCCAATTTGTGTGTTCCAAACCTGTATGTCCTACGATGGCCATCTTAATTCTGCATTGAGTACAGGCTGTATACCGCAGTCTGCAGAGGCTGGGTTTCTACATAGCAACAGCCTTGAATACGTGACACAGCTAATGTACTTTGAAATTCAAATGGTATTTGCCAGACGGAAGGACTCTGGGGGTAAATTTAAGCATTTTACATAGATTTTTATTCATAATTTTCCCAATCTACCGTTAAATTTCATGTATTTGTATAATGTTTTGTTTAAATAAAAAACAAAACAAAACATGGTATTAGAATTCCTTGTTGGTTAACTTGCGCATGAGGCTGTTATATTGGTAAAACCCGTTTAGTTTAAATTGGTACACCGTCATGTTCGTTCTTATATTTTTAAAAATAAGTACAACAACTAAATTGGTTTAATATAAATTATTAATGTAGGCTGCATTTCAGTAATTAATTTAAAAAACAAAAGTATAAAACATTTTGATTGTATCATGTTTCAAACCTGAGACTGCAAGGTAAGACATTTACCCCCGGTTTCACAGACAAGGCTCAAGCCTAGTCCCAGACTAAAATGTTAGTCTGAGCTGTTTCAACTGAAAGAAACTTGCACCGATTGATCTTAAAATATAACAATGCCTTTGTTTTGTCTCAGGATGGACACCAGTAATGTTTTTTTTTCAGGCATGTTTATAAAAATTACTTAAATGTCCTAATTGAACTATGGCTTAATCCTGGCTTAGTCTAAACCCTGTCTGTGAAACCAGGCCTTAGTGTTTGACAAGTGTTTTGTGATATAAAGTCACCATGAAATCTAAAATCACAATTAATATTTTTAATGGAATAAAGCAGTGTATAATATTCATACACATCATCACAAAATAAAGTCCTGCCATGCATTTTTGGTACAAATGAACAGAAACATTTGCTTGTTAAGAGTGGGGGAGTAAACGTGGCATCCTGACCAAATTGCCCAATTGGTTTCATATCAGTCCTGGTCAGTGTTGGGCAGTAACGCGTTACTGTAATTTGATTACTTTTTTAGTAATAAAGAGTAATTTAACGCGTTATAATTTTCAAAATAGCAATTAGAGTATAGTTACAAGCCGAGGTCTCTATACGTTACTGCCGCGTTACATTGCTGACAGAATGCAGTGATTTATAATCTAGAGATTGTAAAAAGGATGTAGCTCACGCACTGTGGAGTCAAGTGCCAGTGGATTAGAGACCTGCTCCCGCGAGACCCGACGCAACAGAGCGCGGCGCGGGACAAGATGTGTGAGTACTTCGGGCGGGTAGACACTCGTGTGTGTGCGGGATACGGGAGAATAAATTGTTTCACAGGACTCCCGCAAAATAGAAATTTCTAAACATAAAATATCTAAAACAAATTGTTATTCATCTATTGCACGTCTCCTAATCAAACAAACTGACTACATCACTCTCCTCTGATAGCTGGCGGATGTACTAGTACGCTATGACTGCCATCACTTCATTTGGATTGATGCTGCACACAGGTGACAGCAGAGATTTCCCCCACTCTATCAATAAGCTTCTCTCCAGTGTGAGTTTTTATGTGACGTTTAAGATGTTTATGTTGCATGAAGCTCTTCGGACACTGAGGGCAGGTGAATGGCCTCTCTCCAGTGTGAATTCTCATGTGATTCATAAGGCTTTGTTTCACTGTGAAACTCTTTCCACACTCGGAGCAAGTGAAAGGTTTCTCTCCAGTGTGAACTCTCATGTGATTCATAAGGCTTTGTTTCACTGTGAAACTCTTTCCACACTCGGAGCAAGTGAAAGGGTTCTCTCCAGTGTGAACTCTCATGTGACTCTCAAGGCTTTGCTGCACTTTGTAACTCTTTCCACATTGAGAGCAGGTGAAAGGCTTCTCATCAGTGTGACTTCTCATGTGAATGTCAAGGTTTTGTTTCATTGTGAAACTTTTTCCACACTGAGAGCAGGAAAAGGGTTTCTCTCCAGAGTGAATTCTCATGTGAATATCAAGGTTTTGTTTCACTGTGAAACTTTTTGCACACTTAGAACATATAAAAGGCCTCTCTCCTGAGTGATTTCTCATGTGATAACTAAGCTTAGGTTTACTCGTGAAACCCTTTCCACACTCGGAGCAGGTGAAAGGCTTATTTCCAGTGTGAATGGTCATGTGACTCTCGAGGCTTTGTTTCACTGTGAATCTCTTTCCACACTGATAGCAGGAAAAAGGCTTCACTCCAGTGTGAATTCTCATATGTCTATCAAGGTTAAGTTTTACTGTGAAATTCTTTCTACACTGAGAGCAGGAAAAGGGTCTCTCTCCCGAGTGAATTCTCATGTGAATGTCAAGGCGTTGTTTTATTGTGTAACTCTTTCCACATTCAGGGCAAATGAAAGGCTTCTCTCCAGTGTGAGTGCACATGTGACGTTTAAGACTTTGATGTTGTGTGAAGCTCATCCCACAGATGGAGCAGGTGAAAGGTTTCTCTCCAATGTGAATGCTCATGTGACTTTTAAGACACTGTTTTGCTGTGAAACCCTTTCCACACTGAGGGCAGACAAACGGCCTCTCTCCGGTGTGAACTCTTATGTGACTCTCAAGGCTTTCTTGCACTTTGTAACTCTTTCCACATTGAGGACAGGTGAAAGGCTTCTCACCAGTGTGAGTTTTTATGTGACGTTTAAGGTATCCTTGTGTTATGAAGCTCTTTCCACACTCAGAGCAGGTGAAAGGTTTCTCTCCAGTGTGAATTCTAATGTGACTTTTAAGGCTTTGTTTCGATGTGAAACTAGTTTGACATTGAGGGCAAGTGAAAGGTTTCTCTCCAGTGTGACTTCTCATGTGACTTTTAATCTGACCTTGTTGCGTGAAACACTTTCCACACTCTGAGCAACTGAATGGTTTCTCTCCAGTGTGAATTCTTAAATGAGTCTCAAGCCTGTGTTGCACTGTGAAACTCTTTCCACACTGAGGGCAGATGAACGGTTTCTCTTCTGTGTGAATTCTCATGTGCTGCTCAAGACTTGCTTGCTCAAAGAAATCCATCCCACATTCATGGCAAGTGAAAAAATCTTCTTTCAGTTCAATCTGATCTAAAATAAACATGAAAAGATCAATGTCAAACATCAATTCAAAGACAACAAAGATGGTATTTTGAGCCAAAAGGTATAGATTTGCAACCCAATTTAATAACAGAATGCAATGGAGGTCATTGTTTAGGCACTGACATGTTTTTCCTAAACTGCAATTTGATGTATAAATCAAGCAGCCAGATTTTTTAATTTATTGTTGTCCATGACTGAAAGTAACCAAGCAAATGGTTTTAATAGTTGGTACCCTAAGAAAATTCATCTATGTATTAGGGATGGGCGATATCTTATCATTTGCGTTATACCGGTAAAAATTAGTCTTACCCGCGATAATAACGATAAAGTCTAGTTCTGTGTGCGACTGTGCAGAGCGACATGGCGGAAGGCGGACATGAAATTGAGGAGGAATATATCGCTAAACGAGGAGCTCCTTCTACAGTCAGGAACTGGTCAGGGCTATAACTTACAGTGCGACAAAAAATCGGTCTGAGCCTTGAATAAATCTACTACAATAGCACGAGTGCGATACAGTTTTGCATGTGTATGAGCCTGTTTAAAAACCTGTTATCCAACAAAGATACCATTTATGGACCTTTTTCACATTTCCGGGTTTCTCAGCAGCGGAAGTCGTCATAGTTGGGTTAACTTGAAGAGCAGTGAATGGGAGAGTACCACAAAAATATTTTTTGCATTCCCAGTTGCTCAAATATCAAAAGAAAAACTCCACGATAGTGTTTTCATGACTTTCAATAAAACGCTGCATTAGAAACACCCTCGCATTAGCGTTAACTACTTTTTTTGTTTATTTTTGTAAAGGTGATATAATACAAATTATAGTGTTATAAATGTGCATACATTTAAAAAAAATAAAAAACTTTGAAAGGATTTACAATGCTGATGACCGTTAAACGCGTCATCACACTCTATTGAAAAGGGTCCATTGACATGCTCTTTGTCCAAATTAAATTCATAACATCAGTCGAGCGTTTGAAATAACTTTGTGATCAGACGTGGTTTCATATCACAGAATGAGGCAGAAATTATACTATTTTATAGTATTTAATACAGTGATAAAGGCTATGTCGATTAGCATTGCATTATAAATATACTTTATTCTTATAAAAATAGCCAAAATTGCTTAAAGAACACAGATAAACCATATACTGTCGCAATCACATGTTTATTGTCTTCATATTTCAGTTAAAATTTCTCTATCTGCATTTTATTCAGCTACAGCTATAAGTGGACACCTTCGTCCATATTAGGGATTTCCTGGAGCGTCCTCAGTGCAATTACTTCTGCAATGCATATGTGGAGTTTCTGTGCAAGGGCGCCCTCCGGCTTCCAGTATATAGTCATTACATTATGATACTCCTCACCAACACCAGGGTAAAAATAGGAAAGATAATACTTTTCTCTAAAGAAACAGGATTTTTTTTTGTCTCTTGGTGGATGCATAAGATTCCCTGAATTATCGTCATTGATATCGTTATCGCAATAAATACCAGAAATTATCGAGATATATTTTTAAGCCCGTATCGCCCATCCCTATTATGTAAATAGAGTGGTGGTATTGTTCTCAGTTTTTGACTGCAGTGAAATTGAGAACTTAAGTGACAATATTAATGTAATATTTTTGCAGTGTTCACCTGGTTGCTAGGCTAATGGTTTTGTACAACATAATACAAAACATTCTTGTGCAAGTTTTAAATAATATACAAGATCATAAAATACATTTCAGTAAAGTTTTTGATGTCCTCCTGTGTATTTATTTGTTGAGTAGCCAAAGTTGTATAATAAACAGGATAATTATACATTCAGGAATGTAGGGATGCACCTTTATTGCATAACTGGTAAAAGGATGTTCTGTTTTTGCCCTTTATTTTGTACATTTTATCAAGAACCAACGATCACACAGAACAAATCGTCTAGAAAATATCCAAAAAGAAAAAGAAAAACGCTTTTTCTAAAGCATTTGGTTTCTCAGGGTTAAATTTTAATCAACTAACTTTAAAATATAGTTGTTCTGACAAATAACTTATTTGTATACCTGAAATAACCAAATCTTCCCATATGCATAATCATTTGGCGCACGTGGTTTTTCATTAGTAATACCAATTAACAGAATTAACAGATTCTTTGTAAGTGACACATAATTACCTTACCATCCGTTTTATTCTTCTGCTCTTGCATAGGTGAGGACTGGCAGGTTTTCGTCTGCACATCTGGTGTTTCTGTGGTCTGATTGTTTTCACGATTCTCCATCTTTATCACCAGGAAATGTTCGATCCCGTTTATTCCATAGATCGCTCAATCAGTCGCGTTTGATTCTGTCTATTTTGTAACAGACATTATATAACCACACAGTAATGTATTTGGTTTAAAACAAGCCTAGCGTTTCTGTAGTTATGATCTCCATGAAGCTTCGAAACGTTTCCGAATCTTTTGCTTTGAATCAGTGATTCAGACCACGAATCAAACTGACCAAATCACGTGGTTTCAGCAAACGAGTCTTCATCACTGGTTCGAAACGTTTTGAAATGTCGATGGTTCGCCGCTAGAGGCAGCTTTATAATGTATGTTCAGTTTAATGACAAACACACGCATGTATAATGAAAAATTGAGATACTTCATAATTAATGGTACTTATTAGTTTGTAGATTACACATAACAGATTACACGTTAATGAAAACATTTGACAGTAATTGGTTTAAGAGGTGTCATTATCAGCCTTTTACATGACATACTAATCACTAATGATCTCCTGTTTGTGTTTGTGACTGGATTGTTTGGTTTTGATGGCTGTGTGAAAATCTTTAGTGAATATTGAGTTTTCTATTTGCTTCTTTACAGTTGGACAATGAGGTATTTCTTCAGGGACACTGCTTACCCTGCTGAAAAAACAATAGACACCATCACAGAATTATAATGGTTTTTCTGGTTATAATGGGACTTATTTGGTTTTAACGGAAACTGTACTCTGGTAATTGGCAGATGAACGGCTTGCTTGATAAACGAAACACATCCCACATTGATGGCAAGTGACAGAATCTTCTTTCAGTTTCTTTTGATCTAAAATGAACATAAGACCAATGTCAAGGACAATAATAGTGAGATAGCCAAAGTAACAGATGTGCAACCCAGTCTAATGCAACAGAGGACATTGTTATATTTTTGACATATTAAAGGCTAAATCTGTCATTCCCATGTTATTGTCTCCTGAAGTGACAGTATAAGTTACAAAGAATTTGCAAGACAGTAAACAATTAAGCAAAATTCAGCATTGGTTTATGACTTGCGTTCATGTTAACCCTTTCACATGCAAGTTTAAAATATTGACTAACTCAACACTAACTCTATCTCTTTTCTAATTCTCTTTTATCTATTTGTTTTTTATTTGTTTTATATAAAAAAACACTTGACCCTCTAATACTTGCACTCTATATTCATTTTCTAACTGCTTGTTTCTTTAACAAAAAAGACCCTCTAACACTAGCTTTCTCTATTCTATCCACTTGTTTTCTTTTTATTGTATGTATGTGTGTGTGTGTGTGTATATAAACCCTTGCTACGCGTACTGCATTAGGCTAACCGAGACTTGTCATAGCACTTGCTTATTATTGCTCTTTTGTTGGTTTTGATTGCTTCTATTATCCTCATTTGTATAAAAGTATAATTTGGATAAAAGCGTCTGCTAAATGACTAAATGTAAATGTAAAATATTGTACCTGAGCTTATAATTCTTTTTTAATGTGACTACTTCTGAACATACCACATTCCTATTTCTGACATTTAGCAAATGTTTACACACGCTTTGGTTCCACCCTTTTCAAAGTATTTCTAGATCTATAACATGCCGATGCATCATAAAATATATCATAAAGAGAACTAAACTAACAGGATTTGCTAATTTGGTACTTACAGCTCAAATTTAAAATCATAGCTAAATGGGGCTGACACGTGAAAAAAATAGATTTATTTGGAGGATGTAATAAGTCACAAATAAGAGCATAACCGGTGTAAGTGCCACGATGACCTTACTTTTCACAGGTCACACATTCACGCTTGTGTGGAGTGGACACATCACAAACCACGCTCTCAGGTAAAATATTGATTCTGCATATATTATATTATTATATATTATGCTTTCACTCAACACAACACACACAAAGACATCATACAATTCTCTCAACACAAATAGTTTACAGGAGACATATTATGCCCCTTTTTACAATATGTAATATAAGTCTCTGGTGTCCCCAGAATGTGTCTGTGAAGTTTCAGCTCAAAATCTTCAGATCATTTATTATATAATTTTGAAAATGCCTATTTTGAGTGGAAGCAGAAACATGCTGTTTTTCGGGCCTGTCAGTTTGTTTCTATACTTTACATTATGATGGTCTAATTTTAAAATATAGTTGGTCTGACAAATTCCCAACTATGCCTGCGTCCCAATGTGCATACTATCCATCCTAAATTCTATGTGATATTAGTAATTTTCAATACTATTTAGGGCAGATAGGGTTGATAGTATGCACATTGGGAAGCTGGGTATGATTTGATTTGATGCGGCACATGGTTTTAATTAGTCGCAATCAACAACTAACAATCTGCTAACTTGACTCTGTAAGTGACAAACAACAAACTTACTCTGACTTTTATTCTTCTGCTCTTGTCTAGGTGAGGACTGGCAGGTTTTCGTCTGCACATCTGTTGTTTCTGTGATCTGACTGTTTACACGCTGCTCCATCTTTATCACAAGGAAATACTCGACCCCGTTTACTTCGCAGATCGCTTCATCAGTCAGTTTAGATTCACTCTCTTCTGTAACAGATTCTACATGCAGTTTTTGTGTACTGATGTCTGCTTTCGAACGCTGCTTCGTGACTCGTGAGGCTTCGAAACGTTTATGAATCTTTTGATTCGAATGGTTCAGTGCGAGTGAATTCCGCAAACGAGTCTTCATTACGTCACTGCCGTTTCGAAATTTCGAAGTTCGCCGCTAGAGGACGTTGATCTGGTGAACCCATGAACCAGTGGCTTTAACTGATCTCGGTTCATTCAGTTACATTCCACAAAGTAGGGATTAGTGTAGTATTTTAGGCCCTCTAAAGAATCTGAGTCATGCAGCTGGTTTGTGGAAACCCCATTGCAGAAAACCTGTGCATGGTCTCTAATCAGTCAAGCTTGTTATCTTGTGCAGGGCCATGCACAGACATGCCGAGGAGCAGAGACCAGAACCAGGGAAAAGCTCACAGTTGGCGACTGGCAATAAAGTTGTTTTAGGCTGGATCTATGAATTCAATAATAAGCATTTGCAAAAACTGGGCACAGATGACATCCTCCCACCTTTCAACCATTGGGCATACTATAAGAAAATTATTAACAATTAATTTCCGCAGCAACATTATGGACATGTTAAAGGGGTCATATGACGTTGATAAAAAGAACATTATTTTGTTTATTTGGTGTAATGCAATGTGTTTATGTGGTTTAAGGTAAAAAAAAAACACATTATTTTCCATATACTGTACATTATTGTTTCTCCTCTATGCCCCGCCTATTCTGAAACGTAAGGAAAAATTGAAATCGCATCATATGACCCCTTTAAATATTAATGTAATAATACAGCTTATCTAAGAATATATTGTATAACCTATGTTGCGTTAAACAAACTGTTTTGTTTTGATGAATATTAAGTGCTTTCCATTATTTTGACATATTGTACAGTATTTCCCTGCTTTAGAAACATTCCAGTAAACATAGGGATATTTTATAGTGTCAGGGTGAAAATAAAACTGGAAAGAGAGGTGATGACAACATGTTTTAATTAAATAGTCAATACAATAAAACAAAACAACAACACACACGTTTAATAAGAAAACAAAACCAGAACAAACTGCAACTTTTGTGAGACAGGTTAGGTGTTAAAATAATCTATAGGCTACATTGGAATAAAACATTTAAAAACGGCATGATGGTATAAAATATGACCAGGTCAAATGTATTTTAAATTTTTTTGGAATGTTCTATGACTCTATTCAGTGCACATACAAAATAAGATGGAATAATGTTTTTTTTTTTCTGACAAAAATTTGGGTAGGAATTGACAGTCGTAATTTACATTAATTACTCATTTACATTGCCTAAGAAAAGCTTTGTCTGGATCAGTTTGACGCGTTACAACCTGCAAGTCCTACGATGGCCATCTTGATTCTGAGCAGACGACATATATCAATCTCTACATAGCAACAGCCCTCGAAACGGATAATCACACAGATAATCCGTCCGTCCATTCTCCAAACCTCTTATCCTCTGTAGGATCGTGGGGGGCTGGGGTCTATCCCGGGGAAACACTCTGGACATATGGGCTGTCCATCACAGGGCTCACACACCAACACACACATTCACACAAACACAGCTAATGTACGCTGAAATTCATATTGTTACAGTCTGTAACAGTCATCTGCAACTAGGACTCTGATGTAAATATAAGCATTATGCATTTTTATTCATGGTTTTGAAAATCTAAATCTAATCGTTGTTTTTAAACCATTAAATCTGACTTTACATTTGTAATGTTTCATTTTTTTAAAGGGGTCAAATGATGCGATTTCATGTTTTCCTTTCTCTTTAGAGTGTTACAAGCTCTTGGTGCATAAAGAAGATCTGTAAAGTTGCAAAGACTAAAGTCTCAAATCCAAAGAGATATTCTTTATAAAAGTTAAGAGTTAGCCACACCTACCTAAAACGGCTCGTTCGAACACGCCCCCACATATCTACCTCACTATGTGGGAAGATATGCATAACGCCGCCCAAATGTTCACACAAAGAAAGAAGGAGTAACTTTTATTCTCGCTGTAATATTGAAAAGTGAAAAGTGAAAAAGTGAAAAGTGACGTGACATGTGGCCAAGTATGGTGACCCATACTCGGAATTAGTGCTCTGCATTTATCCCATCCCTGTTCCTTCTTACATTTTGTGAATAAAAACAATAGCTAAATTGTTAGTCTGATTTAAATCAAGTAATTTATAAAAAAAAAAAAAGTATAAAATATTTTGATCATTAATGTCTCAATCTTGAGACTGCAAAGTCTCATATAATAGAATATTTGATGACAGTATTATTATATAAATATTAAAGTCACCATTAAATCAAAATGAACAATATTATTGAAGAATGCAATGTTTATTCTAATATTTAAAATTACTTATTATAATTATACTAAATGATTATTATTATTTACAATTCATGTGCTCTTTTAATTTTTAATCAAAATAACTTTCCCTACCCCTTGCAACACATCTCTTCTCTTATGTGTGTACAATAACCGCTCTCCTCCAGCAACCTGTCACTCATGAGATCACAGCAATAGCAAACAACAATGCTCCAGTCAATTTCACATGGACAAAATCAAGAAAGCCGTTTCACTTATATATACAATACATCAGTCACAACAGGATGAAACAACGCCAAAGTACATTTTGACTCGTTTAAATCTCTGAATGAAAGTGATAAACAACTAACATCGACTTTCTGTTTTGCAACAGTTCAGTCAGGAAAAACTGGGCCGGACATTTTAGAAGTTGTCATTGCCTCCCTGCCATTCTGCCATTTCTGCCATTCAAAATTATTCAAATGTACTGTCAAGTTAACTCTTCTGTAGCAGGAGAAGAGCATGAGGTGGGAAATGAAGTGATAAGAAATGAGCAGTTTATTGAAAAACCTTAGATACTTGTGTTGGTCAAAGCTCTGACTGTATCTAAACAGAAGCACATACATGTTCTTATATCAATAAAAGGTTATAGGAATTTTCTGCTTAACAGTGTGGTCATGAAGAGACTTCTTATCTCAAGCATGCAGAGAAGAACAGATGGAAGAATCATTGTAGTGTAGTGGTTTGAGTTGTACATGATTATGATTTGTAATGCATTTTACCCAGACCTACTTTAAATAACAACCAGTTGTTTGTTGGGTAAATGAATGTAAAATGAGCACTTTCCATCTGTTACAGTTCTGCTTTTCACAGATCAATGAAACTTTTAGGGACAGGTCACCCAAAAATGAAAAGGTCTGACTTGAACTTTTTTTTCCCCTAAGTAGCACAGTAAAGAAGATTTTTTTGTGAAACTGTTGTCCTTGGCAATTCATATACACTGCACGTTTGTGGCTGACAGTTTTTGAGCGTTAAAAAAACATACACAGAGAAGACCAAATCAATACCCGTGGCTCCTGACGATACATTGAGGTCTTATGGCCTGTGCAATAAAATGAACATTATTTTCAAAATTATTATTTTTAAACCACAACCTTGGCAAACAGTTCTCAGTGCATTCACAACTCGCTGGAGCATGAACTTCCTGTTGCATAATGACGTAAGGCACAAACTTACATGTAAACTGATGATGCTATTTGTTTACAATGGAGAGTGAGGGCACGTGTGTTTTACTGTTCTTCAAAATGGTACTTACCTGTGCTTATCCTGGATGCTGGAACCAATTTAAAAAGATTTGCTGGTACAATCCCATTGACTTTTCCCAGATTTCTGGCCTTTTGATCCAGATAGATTCATTTGACCTCTGTTGTCATTGTACAAACACCACGTTTCGAGAGTCCTCATTCCCACCAAGGCTTATGGTTGTGCCGCTGCGTCCTCCATCCTTCTCAGCTCTCACACATGCCCTCCCTCTCCATTGTAAACGAACAGCATCATCAGCTTACGTGTGAGTGTGTGCCCGCACATGAGACTAGGCAGCCACAGACGTGCAGTGTATGAATCGCGAAGGACAACGGTTTCTCCTAAAAATCTTCTTTACTGTTCTACTGAAGAAAAAAAGTCACCTACATCTGGGATGGCCTGAGGGTGAGTTAACTAACAGCAAATCTTGATTTTTGGTTAACTATCCCTTTAAATGTTATTCTTTGTATATTAGGTTATACATGATTAGAAAAACATTGCATAAATCATTATAAGCAAACAAGGTATAACAAACATTCAAAATATGTAGAATAATTGTGTAAATTTAAAATGAAGGGGAAACACTGCATCTCCCATTATAATGAACAACAGAAACACTTACTCATTAAGAGTAGGGGTGTAAAAGTGGCATCCTGACCAATTGTCCCATTGGTCTCTTATCACTCACGGCCAAATAATCATATAAACAGATTGACTACATCACTCTCCTCCGACAGCTGGTGGGTGTCCTGGTACGCTATGACTGCTATCACTTCATCTGGATGGATGGTGTACACAGGAGACAGCAGAGAAGATTCCTCGACTCTGTCAAAATGAATTCTCATGTGGCGTTTAAGGTGTACGTGTTGTGTGAAACTCTTTCCACACTGAGGGCAGGCGAAAGGCTTTTCTCCAGTGTGAATTCTCATGTGATTCTCAAGGTTTTGTTTCACTGTGAAACTCTTTCCACACTCGGAGCAGGTGAACGCCGTTGCTTCATTGTGAAGTTTCATGTGACTCTCAAGGCTTTGTTTCACAGTGAAACTTTTCCCACATTCACAGCAGATGAAGGGCTTCAGCCCAGTGTGAACTCTCATGTGACTATCAAGGTTTTGTTTTATTCTAAAACTCTTTCCACACACAAAGCAGGTGAAAGGCTTCTCTTCAGTGTGAATTTTCATGTGTCTCTCAAGGTTGGTTTTCATTGTGAAACTGTTCCCACATAAAGGGCAGATGTAAAGTTTCTCTTCAGTGTGAATTTTCATGTGTCTCTCAAGCTTTTGCTTCATTGTGAAACTCTTTCCACACTCGGAGCAGGTGCAAGGTTTCTCTCCAGTGTGAATGGTCATGTGGCTCTCGAGGCTTTGTTTCACTGTGAATCTCTTTCCACACTGAGGGCAGGAGAAAGGCTTCACTCCAGTGTGAATTCTCATGTGACTCTCCAGGTTTTGTTTTACTGTGCAACTCTTTCCACATTCAGAGCAGGTGAAAGGTCTCTCTCCGGTGTGAATTCTCGTGTGACTCTCAAGGCTTTGTTTCACTGCAAAACTTTTTCCACATTCAGGGCAAATGAAAGGCTTCTCTCCAGTGTGAGTGAACATGTGACGTTTAAGACTTTGATGTTGTGTGAAGCTCATCCCACAGATGGAGCAGGTGAAAGGTTTCTCTCCAATGTGAATGCTCATGTGACTTTTAAGACACTGTTTTGCTGTGAAACCCTTTCCACACTGAGGGCAGACGAATGGCTTTTCTCCAGTGTGAACTCTCAAGTGACTCTCGAGGCTTTGTTTGACTTTGTAACTCTTTCCACATTGAGGGCAGGTGAAAGGTTTCTCACCAGTATGAGTTCTTATGTGACGTATAAGGTATCCTTGCTGTGTGAAGCTCATTTCACACTGAGGGCAGGTAAAAGGTTTTTCTCCAGTGTGAATTCTCATGTGACTTTTAAGGCTTTGTTTCGATGTGAAACTCTTATCACATTGAGGACAGATGAAAGGTTTCTCTCCACTGTGACTTCTCATGTGAATATTAAGCTGACCTTGTTGTGTGAAACTTTTTCCACACTGAGGGCAAGTGAATGGTTTCTCTCCAGTGTGAATCCTTAAATGAGCCTCGAGCTTTTGTTTCACTGTGAAACTTTTTCCACATTGAGGGCAGATGAATGGTTTCTCTTCAGTGTCAATTCTCATGTGCTCCTCAAGACTTTCTTGCTCAAAGAAATGCATCCCACATTCATGCCAAGTGACAGAATCTTCTTTCTGTTCATTCTGATCTAAAATAAACATTAAAATATCAATGTCAAAAATCAGTTCAAGGATAATTAAGGTGAGATTGAGCTAAAGTAAGTTTAACAGCAGAAAGCGTCAGAGGTCCTTGATATACTAAATGTCATTCTTTATTTGTCAAAATAGGTGTAAACAGGAAACAAAATTCAAACCACATTCATGGGTGGTTAGGGATGCATGTGGTCACATTAGCCGCGTTTCCACAGTCGGCCAAAAGCGAGTGTAATGGAGGTGTGAACTGTGGGTAAAACCTCACTCCCCTGACCTCAAGAGGCGCACTAGCAACTGATGCTAGAAGCTGTCTTAAGAGTCCTTGTTAGTGCACTCACCTCCCACGCTGGAAACACTGGTTCAAATCCCACTCAGAAAGAGTGAGGGGAGTAAGACTAATGCTAAGGCGCACTAGCAACTGACACTAGATGCTGTGGTCTTTAGCGTCCTTGTTAACATGCCCGTCTCCCATGCTGGTAACACCAGTTCAAATCCCGCTTGGTGTGAGTGAGGGGAGTAAAACCCGAAGGGGTTAGATTGGTGCCGTGACCCGGATGGGAGTGAGGTTTACTGGGGGAGTGCAACGGATGCCAGATAATAAGAGCTGTGCGGGTAAAACCTTACTCCTCTGATCTCAAGACGCTGTAGGATTTACCATGAACCAGAGTCCAACAAATGGACACAACACCAAATGAACACTCCTTAAGATCAAGGAGATTCCCCATTAAGTCAGTGATAGGTCATAAAAACTAATCAGCGGTGCCTGATCGTCTGAGTCCACTGTCTTCCCTTATATCTGGTCATTCTCAACTGGGTCTGGAAATTGATCAAAGAAGAAGACCCTCCATTGTTCCCAAAACATAACCATTCTGTGGAACCAAATGGCCAACCAACACTTCGTGACAATCATACACAAAATGTATGGCCATAACAGGAAAGAGGAGACACGTGATAGGGGTTAAAAAACCAGAATTAACATGAGAAAACGCCTCCAATGCCGGTAACGCCAGTTCAAATCCTGCTCGGAGCTCAGGGAGTAATACCCAAAGGGGTCACATCGGTCCCTTGACCTGGATAAGAGTAAGCTTTAGTAAGGGGGGGGTGTAACGGAGGCCAGCTGGTAATTGCTGTGTGGGTAAACCTCATTCCCCTGATCTCAAAAGGCGCACTAGTGATTGACACCAGAGGCTGCAGTCTTTAGCGTCCTCGTTAGCGTGCCCGTCTCCCATGCCAGAAATGTTGGTTTCCACTCAGATGACCTGGATAAGAGGAAGCTTTAGTAAGGGGGGGTGTAACGGAGGCCAGCTGGTAATTGCTGTGTGGGTAAACCTCATTCCCCTGATCTCAAAAGGCGCACTAGTGATTGACACCAGAGGCTGCAGTCTTTAGCGTCCTCGTTAGCGTGCCCGTCTCCCATGCCAGAAATGTTGGTTTCCACTCAGAGCGAGCGAGGGGAGTATAGAACCGGTGGGGTTACACAAGCGTGCTAATGGGGATTCTTATCACCCTATGAGGCAGAAATATGTTATTTATAGATTTATATGAGATGCTAAAGCCTACGTATTCTTATGAAAATACCAGAGACTGTTTGAAGAACATGTATGATTATAATCGTGTATTTATTTGGTTTCATATATCTTGTCTCTTCCTATCTCTTTGTTGATATTAGACTTCTGCATCCGCATATGTCATTAATTACATACATTCTGGTTAATTCTAGTGGTGCAATGGATCACAAAACTCAAGGTTCGGATCATATTATTTTGAGTCACGGATCGGATCATTTTTCGGATCAGCAAAAAAAAAAAAGAAAATTAGTGAAAGCTTACTTTAAGTACTTCTATACCACAGCAAAACTACTAGCTTTAATAAAGTTAGTAATAAAACAAGAACAATTACACAAATTACAAGCATAGATGAATACAACAAAACACAGTTACAAATAGGGATGGCTACTGAGAACCGGTATTTTTTTGGACCGGTACGTAATTGGGTCGATACCGGAATACCGATAAGCTTCAGGACAAACGATACTGTTATTAATACTTGCGTTGTTTCGCAGGTTTTGCAATCTCCGTATACTTCAATGTTAACAACGAATTAGAAGCTGCTGCTTGTCATTTCCCATCACTGAATGATGTGGCCGAGGTTTGCTCGACGTGCGTGTGATGTCCATGCGCATGTGTGGTGTGTGTTTGCGTGCAATCAGTCATCGCGGCAAGAGTGAAACGTTTGAAAGTGTGGGCTCACGTTACAAAACTAATTTATTGGCTGCTGTCTCTTTAAGACCAAATGCACTGACCTAATACTGACACACATCCGTTTTTTTTCTCAGCTGTTTACATTCATTTAAGACATAATTGACTGTGTTTACTAGAATACTTGCCAAAACGGGTATTCTTTTTTAATACATGTAACAAACAGAGTTTTTTTTTAAAAATCTAAAGACAGACAGACAGATAGATAGATAGATAGATAGATAAGCCTTAGGACTTAAAAGCCATAATGGAGTTGTTTTGTCCATTCCTGTGATAAAAAAATTAAATGAAGCAGGTGTAACTGCTCAGTAACTTTAAATATCCATTTTTAACATTCAAAATTGAATGAAT